CTGAGATGACCCAGAGTTAATCATAGTAGTGAAAACTCATTTAATTTCCACCACCTTTGAAGTTCTAAATATTTATTCAGCATTCATTCCTCTCTATATTATTCCTTGCATCGTATCAGTGTCCTCCCGATGGGTAGTCATTATTTATTGATGTAATCGGACCCTGCTTCCTGGAAGAAATTAAAACAGGGGCGGCCACCAAATTACCATTACCATTTGAGGTGAAACACTCGACCACTAACGACATCAACTATTCAATGAAATCAGCAATACCAGTAATGCTCAGTCACCATATGAATTTGCGATGTGTTACTATCCGTTTACTGTCACACTAGCCAGATCTTCTCATGTCAGTCCTAACTACATTGAATCAGAAGGAGAAGATTAGGTTGTTAGTTGATAACAAAACTTGCTGATATGGTGTTGGGTTACTGACCCAGATTTGCATTCTATCTTCAATTATCCCTGATCACATGAATAACAATCTACCAACCCAGGGTTCGCGCTAGGCCCTCGACCTGAACCCCAATTGGAGTTGGGCATGGGTTCGAGAGTGACGTGAAGGAGATCGTGTGAGGTGAAGCTGAAAGCATATGGTCAGTCTTCAAGCCAGCTGAAATAGACTGTAGAGAACAAAGTGTAAAGTGTAGATGTTCTTCTGAAGCCTCTTTGTTAAACTTCGAACCTAAGGAAATACTGATAATAATACTTAAACTAAAGATTTCCTCATTCCAGTCTCAATATTATTATTATTCCCTTGTGTTCCAAGTGGAACATAAGGCTTAAGCTTGAGAACATCTCCATTTTGTTCTATTTTCTGCCATCCTCTTCATTTTTTTTAAATTTTTGATTACAGCTTGACGCCACACCCTCTTTTCAGTACAAGTATGGAATTTTCAATATGGATATCGGTAGCCCAAATTTTGCAGGCCGACCATAGATATCGGGTGTGCGTCGGCAGGAGATCGAACCCCGGACCATGTGCATGGTCGGTGAGAGTCCTAACCACTGTGCCACCGACGCACGACTGCCAAAACTCTTTCATCTCTTCCAGCGCACACGATCTCCTCTATGTAACCCTTGCACTGACGACCCACTCGTCTCTTCGCATTGGGATTCCACTCGAGGCATTGCCCGGTGTCCGATGTCATTCGGCTGCCCACCCCCCCGATGTATGTCGATCTGTCTCTACTTTCTCCTTCATATTTGTTGAGCGATAGGCTCACGCCTGTTGGTTTGTTTCCAGGCAGAGTTTCTTGTTGCTTATTCTTTCTGGCCATTTGATCTACAGTATGGAGCCAGCGAGGAGGGTAGCTGTTGATGAAATTCTGCAGTAGCCTCATCGAGTTTTCCGTTGTGGGTCACCCGGCACGTGACATATAGTCAGCTGTTGAATGAGTTTGACAAAGACTTGAGCACTGTACGCCATTGTTTTGAAGTAGTTTCCAAATTACTTCTTGGTCAACGCTCTCTGTCGAAGGCCTTTTCAGAGTCGATGAAATTGAGGTATAGGTTTGACTGCCATTCTATGCTTTGTTCTGTGATAACAATGCGTAGAGTTGCAATTTGATTAGCAATGGATTTGTCTTTCCTGAATCCGCCTGATTCCGGCTGCTGGAGTTCTGTATTCAGTGCATCCTTTATTCCCTCCAAGATGATGCGACTTAGTATTTTACTTATATATTTATTATTGTTCCCTTGGGTTCCTAGTGGAACACAGGGCTTCAACTACACGTCTCCATTTGCCTCTGTCTTCTGCTGTACTTTTCACTTCCATCCATGTTAGTCCATACTGTTTCAACTCTTCTTCACACGATCTCCTCCATGTCACCCTTGAACGTCCCAGTCACCGATTCCGTTTCGGGTTCCACTCGACCTATGGCCTGACGCGCGATGTCACCCAGCGGCCATCATAACTTTCTCCTGCATATTTGTTGAGCAATTGGTTCTTGTTTTGTTTGTCCCCATAGTTTCTTGTTGGTGATTCTTTCCGGCCATCTGATCTTGAGTATAGAGTGAAGACAGTTGTTGATAAAGGTCTGCAACAGGCTGTTGGAAATATTCTTTGTGACCCTCCAAGTTTCTGATCCGTATAGAAAAAGTGACTGACTTGACGTTTGTATTGAAGATCCGAATTTTGTTGTTGATGGTGAGTTGAGTGACGAAGATTTCCAGATTGTTTTTAAGTTGATGAATGTGTTTCTCGCCTTCCCAGTTGTCGATTTGACATCCTCGTCCGTCCGTTTCTCCTGTAGTTGAGACAATGCTTCCTAGATAAGTGAATGAAGTAACCTCTTTCAAATCCCTTCCGTTGATGGTGATTGGCGCCGGATGTTGCTGCTGCTGTTGTTGTTGTTGGTTGGTTATTTTCATAACCCCGCCTAGATTACTAGGTCACTAGTTTTCTAGCCGGTCTCAAGCCCGGATAAAGAGGGAGGGTTGGGGCGTGATGTTAGCAACTCCACTCCCAAAACTTAACCAAATTGCTACAAAAACTTCAAGGCTTAAACATATTTTACTTGGCGTGGACTAAATTTCTGTTATCTTCATTTAAGTGTGCTTTCATTAAGTATTAAACATTTGAGATTGTGTGTAATGTTCCGTGTTGCTTAGTAAGTTAGCCTTTGTTCTTAATATCTGGTTTTTATACAGTCTTCATAGCTTTTACTTAGTTTAGATTTTCCCGGCGATTGATTGGATCGAAGTGCTCCGACTCAGGTGGACATGTCAGCTCCTTATGGAGATGCTTCCACGATTTCTGGTCATATAACTTGAAGTCAGTTGGTGGATAGTGACTAGGAGTGGAATCCAGGATAACGCGCATTTCGTCTAATTTGAAACTCGTCATCTAAGTGTATCTGCATTCCATAGTGAGCGAGTGATTGTGTTCCTACCGAAGTCCGAATCCAGTGCCCATAGTTTCAAACGCCAAAACATTATCCACCAAACCACTTGGGCCACGACAGCCACCTCTTTCTTGTGCTATGGGTCTAAATTATTGTTTAATTCAATTTAGATATTCCCGCCAAGTCACACTTTCGAACTTATGCCCAACTCGTTGTCTCCCATTCGGGTTCTTTTTGAGAGCCTAAAGCAAATCTTGGGTTGGCAGATTGTCAGCTATGTGATTAGTGATAATTGAGGATAGAATGCAAATCTGGTTCACAAACTCAAGACCATCTCAGCAAGTTTCATTATCCTTCTGATTCAAGTTACATGGTCAGACATCGTCGAATCACCTGCACAAAGAGCTGATATGTCAACCTGAGACCGACCACTTTGGTTCAATCAATCGGGACGGGAAAATCTTAAATTCAGTTAAGTTATTAATGAGACCAGTTCCACAAGGAAGAGGTCGCTCTCTTGGCCCAAGTGGTTTAGTGGATAATGCTTTGGCGTTTGAAACCATGGGTACTGGTTTCGATCCTCGATGGGGGGGAACACAATCACTTACTCACACACTGGGGAATGCTGGTACACCCAGATGACGAGTTGCCAATTGGATGAAATGCGAGTCCTGGTGGATTCCACTTCTAGTCACGATCCACCGGGTAACTTCAAGTCTCTGTGGATGATTACCACAAGTCATGGAAAATTCCCATTGTAACATATAGAAAATCAAAACAAATGATTCAGCGAAGAGACTCTTTTCAACGAATTTATCATCAAGCTATACAATCGTATATATATGGCTACTTTTAAGAAGTTATATCCCGTGAGGAATTGAAACATAAGTGTGAATGCATAAAATAATAATAGTATGAATTGCAATTAAAACTAAAATGTTTGTGATTATAATCGTAGTTGAATGTCAAGTGGCAAAGCAAATTAATGTCATATATAGAATAATTCATAGGATGGATAGAACTTGAAAAAGGTGTGCAATTATAAGATTAGTAGACAAATCGAATAAAATAAAAACGTTACGTAATATTGTGTGAAATTTAATAGCATAGAATTTAATGTTGCATAAAAGAATTGATTTAGAATGACAAGTGGAACAAGTGAAATAATACCGGGGACAATTGAAAGTGAGAGTAGTAATAGTAACAATTGACGTAATAAGGAAGAGTATACAAAATGAACAGACAAAATGAAGAAGTGAAAAATTGGTAGAGCTAAAATATGATTAGGGATTAACATACTTTAGCATAGAGGATTAAGACGAGGGATTAAGACCATGAAAGTTGGAGGGGTTGAAAGAAACTTTTTCTGTACACAGAGATCTGGCTTTTCTGTTTCGATAGCCAAAGATGGCTTCAGCAATACAGATGAGTCGGGTACGTAGGGATTTGAGTAAATTACTCTTTGCCTTGTAGATGACTTTGAAGGCGGAGGCTATAGAGATAAGGTGATCATTATCGACCAGATGTTCAATGATCGCGCTTCTTATTGCTCCACTTCCACCTTTTCGTAGCCATGCAGGATAGTATTCTTGCACCCTCTTGGACAAAACTCGTATCGAACGACCGATATGCCTAGCTCCACACGGACAGGTGAATTGTAAACACACATAGAGTTGGTCAACAGCGGGATCTTGTCCTTCAGGTTATTGAACAATAATGGTCGACTAGAAAAGGCTATTCTCAGGGATGCAGCACGGACATTAATTTGCTTTGCCACTTGACATTGAACTATGATTATAATCACAAACACTTCAGTTTTAATTGCCTTTCATACTATTATTATTATTATTTTATGCATTCACATCTATGTTTCAATTCCCTCACCGGATATAACTTCTTAAAAAAAACCCATATATATACGATTGTAGAGCTTGATGATAAATTCGTTGTTGAAAAGAGTCTCTTCGCTGAATCACCACTTGTTTTGATTTTCTATAGATTACCACAAAGACGCCATAACAGAGAAGCTATTGAATTATACCATTGGAATTAATTCTTATAAATGTGATCAACTTATTCACCAAGAATTATACTTAAAACTTCACTAATATTCCTTCACATCCTCTTCATCGTTTTTGTTTCTTTTCTTCACAGAAATTGCAATAAAGATGCAAGAAGACAAAGATTTCAGAGAATTTGGGAAAATTTGACATCTGAAAGTGTTTACTAGCAATTTCCATAGAAAAACAGACAAACAAACGGACAAACGAAAAAACCGCCTTTCCATCACTGGTTTTTCTACATATTGAATATTGAATTGTATTAAAGTAGCTTGTTTTGAAACACATTCAAGTATTTTTATGATTATATGCCGTTTTTTATTTGGTAAAAGTTTGTTTTTTTAGTCTTACGGAAGTCTCTAGGGCATGTCTGCCATCAAATGTATCAAGTGTCCATTTTCTCAGACAGTTAATTGTGAACAAAATTCCTAGAAATAAAAGGTTCAACGTGAGAAAGTAAAATCCTTCCGGTATAACCAATTCTCCAGACAATTATTGTCTAAGAAGTGGCTATAATTGCAGAGTAGTTTTCAAAAGGTTGGAAAATATATTTTTTCTTCTAATAATCACGGAAAATACCCATTCAGACATTAATATGGGTATTATCCGTGAATTGGCAGAAGTTAGAATTCATGGACTATTTGACCGGATCCCAGTGGCTTAATGGTATACGAGCTCGCCTTGTAACCAGAAGGTCCGGGGTTCGAATCCCGGTGGGTGCATACTGATGAAGAGTCCCATACTAGGGCAAAACAGCTGTCCAGTACTCCCAGGTTTTCCAATGGTTCTCTAACTAATGTCAGCCCATGATGAAAATCCTGTAACCAATCAAATCCCTACAAACCAACACTTGAATAAAAATTAATAGACAGAAGACCAGTAGTTCAGCGAAGAGTCTCCTTTTTTTGGCGACGAATTCCCTTTCATAGCTGTACAATCGCAAATATATGTGATTGTTTTGTATATGTGTGTGTACATTAAATTTGCCAAAGGAAAATACAATTAGTAAGTTTTTTGGTGGAGTTATGTAATACGGAAGGCATTCTGAGGAATTGGATGTTGATTCAAGAGGGTAGTAAAAAAAGGGATGAGTTGTCATAATCGATTGTTAAAGAAGAGTTACGTAATAACATGAATAGTTTGATGAAAGGGTTGTACTCAGGGTGTACATGGAAACAAAACAACATACGGAATTACGTAAGAGTTTTAAGTAGTTAGAAAACACAAGCTAACCTTAAGTCAAGTCAACAGAGTTGTTGTCATGATAGTAGAAGTGGCTGAATAATTTTCTTTCGTTTGCACAGTTCCGGTTCTTCTGACTGAATGGCTAGGGCTTCTGCAATGTAAAGAAGACGGAAACGTATTGTCTTTGGCAGGTTGTTCTTCACTGTTTAGATAACTTTGAAGGAGGTGTTTGCTGAGATGGAATTAGCAAGACCCTTTGACAGTGAAGGAACTTAATGGGTTTCTGTGCTATTTCGTCATGCTTGCAGAAGTCAACGCGAAGACCGACTTTCTCAGAGATTGCATAGATAACCATATATATCCGAAGTGGTATTGAAAAGCTCTTCGTCGCAATTATATTTAACATAACTCTAAACCTCTCAAACATCACACTTTGGACCACATTGATGCCGTTCTTTCACGTGTCCCAGAACTGGAGAGAAACATAGCACAAGGAGCCTCTGTGTTATATGAACTGTCAAGTGGTGAACGCCAAGCTTTCATTGAGTGCATGAGTATGGTTACAGAGAGGCGCAAAAGAGCTGTTCATTCAGACCTATTAAGTGGACTAAAAGCCATTGAAATAAGACGCAAATTTCCTGGAGATCCTGCCAAATTTGTGCTCAATCACTCTTCAGTAACTTTATCTGCTGTACAACTGAAGGCCTTATTTTTCAAGACAAAATTCTGCTAAATGAGCCAAGATATTAGCAAGCTATATAGATGTGTAGAATGTGAAAATGTGATCAATCAGACTAGTCACTTAAACCCAATCTCTGAAGAGATAGGTGTTCAAACGTTTTACTTCAACAATTCTAGATTGATGCCATCAGTGCCTCAATACAAAGTCTAAGCGCAATAATCTATTGACTGAAGAACACAGATAACAGCTCAGTCAGCTGAGACGTAACAAGGAATTGCTGATCAGACTCCCTGAGAAAGGTACTGGCTTAGTCCTAATGGATAGAAAGAACTATATTGATAAAATGTTAATAATTCCTTCAGACAACAACAAGTTCGCTGCACCTGACAAAGAGAAAAACAAAACAGAAAAGCCACTCATTGGGATACTGAGGAAGCTTAAAAGTGATCAACTTATCTCTGAAAAGGTCTGCTAGAGCATTCGACCAATAGGTTCAATAATACCCCTACTATATGGATTACTCAAAACCCACAAACAAAGACTTCCCTTGCGCTCTATTTTGGACATTTCCGGATCTCCTAAAATGGCTCGCAGATTTGCTACAGTCTATTGGAGAACAAATTTCAAAATACTCTCTCCGAGACACGTTTGAATTCGCCGACTGTATCAAAGATGGGAAAGTGGGCAGCAACCGTTAATATCACTCGATGTCGAATCTTTCTTCACAAATATCCCGATTACGTGAACGATTTGTTTCTTAGGCAAGTAAATGGAAGATAACGACCTAAATATATTGGAATACCCACAACGAAGGTAAAAGAACTCCAACTTTGATGCGCTTTGAACTTTCAGTTCACATTCAGTGGTACTTTATGTAAACAGAAAGATGGTGTGGCTATTGGTTCACCTTTAGGCCCGTTACCTGCAGATATATTGATGGCAAGTTTGGAAAATGGTTCGTTGAAACTGACAGTTGACAACTTCTCTCTGTAAAAAAGGTACGCTGATGACACGTTTATCTACCGTGATAACTAATGTAAGCTGAATAAGGTCCTTCAAGTTCCTAATAGCTGCCACCCAGCCATCAAATTTACAACTGAATCAGAAACCGGAGAGGTAATGTCATTTCTGGAAGTGCGACTAACAAAGAAGTCTTAAAAGGACCTTAAAGAGATCAATATATCGGAAACTTACGTGGAATGGCCAGCTGGCAAACTTTAAAAATTGGGTACCCATCAATCGCAAGTGGAGCCTGATACTATCACTTACAACTAGAATCCGAAGAATATGCAGCTTCGAATCAGTAGAAGAGGAGATCACTCTTTTTAGGAAGACAATAATTGAGAATGGCTATCCACCACGCTTTATGGATAAACAAATAAAGCTAAAAATCAACAAAGAACCACCCATTTTTGTGCCCAAGAAGATGCTTTGCATGAATGTGGCGTTCAAAGGCGACCTTTGGGCTGACATCTTAAAGAGAAGAATATCTAATGCTTAGAAAAGAACATTCCCTACTGCTACATTACGATTGGGATTCTCAAGCCGTCCGCTGTTCTTCAACATCTCCAAAACAAACTATCGCATCAGGCGGGGGAGATGAGAGACTGTGGTCAAACAAGGAGCTTGCCAGCTGAAGAGGACGGCAGAAAATAGAATAAAGTGGAAATATGTTGTTGAGACCCTATGCTCCACTCGGAACCCAAGAGAATAATGATAATATGGTATTACTGTCCAACCTTCGCCTTTACCATGGTCCTCATAAACCATGGTCAGTTTTCTCAATAATCATTATCCAACTGTTTGCTACCCGGACTTCCTGTTTATTTTGTTATACACAGTCATTTGATCCCTAGTCGCAGTCTTTTTGTTCTTTGTAATTTAACCCTTAACCGGAAATAATTCTGGAAATTACTCACGCATTTCCTATAAATATACAAATGTACAGCCTAGTTGATGACTTCATCGAAAAGAACATTTTCTACGCTGCAACTGTCTTTTTAAAATTTGTATAATTAACAAACCTTGTTGATTCTTACTGACTTGATTTCTGTTTGCTTATTTTTCAAAAATCCTTATAACTCCTTTATTTCTTTAGAACTGTTATACAATTCCACATTTTACTTTGCTTGTATGTGCATCCTGATTAAAACACATTCAACTTTCCTCATACATTATAAGCTGTTATCAATCCCTTGAGTTTTAAGTGGAACATAGGGCTTCAACAACACATCTCTAGTTTTTTCTGTTGTCTGCCATCCTCTTCAGCTGGCTAGCTCCACGATTGACCAAACTCCCTCATCTCTTCCAGCTCACACGATCTCCTCCGTGTCACCTTCACAATGACGACCCACTCGTCGTTTCCCGTTGAGATTACACTCGACGGCCTGGCGTGTCATGTCATTCAGTGGCCTCCTCAATGTATGCCTGATCCATCTCCACTTCCTCCTATACATTTGTTGAGCGATCAGCTCATGGCTGTTGGTTTGTTCTCAGCCAGAGTTTCTTGTTGCTTATTCTTTCTGGCCACTTGATCTTCAGTATGGAGCCAGCGAGCAGGGAAGCTGTTGATGAAAGTCTGCAACCTGTTGGAAATCCTTTTCATGACATGCAGTGCAAGTTTCTGTTCCGTAGAGAAGAAAACTGGTGTTGAAAATACGAATCTCGTTCCTTATGCTGAGTGTGGAAGATTTCCAAACTGGTTTCAGGCTGATGAAGGCGTCTCTTGCCTTTCCTATTGTGACTGACTTTGACATCTTTATCCATGCTATCCGACTTCCTGTGACTGAAACTGTGCCTCCTGGATTGATAAGTGAAGGAGGCAACCTGTGTTAAATCTCTCTTATTGGTGGTAATTGGTGCTGTTTGTTGTTGCAGTTCGTTGGTTATCTTCATCACCTTCGTCTTCTCTATGTTCACCTGCAGTCCTGTCTTCGCCGACAGCCTTTAGCCAGACTTGTTTTGTGTGCTATTAGACATGTGTCATTCGCGAAATCCAGATGTTCCTTAGTCATCTAATCGGTGGTTCATTGTATTCCTGACTCCTGGCCCCCAACAGTTTGACGCATAATCCAGTCCACCAGAATTGTGAGTATGATTGTGGGTGATAATAGGCAGCCACCACTGTCTTACTCCTGTATTCACTTTGAACGCCTCTCTGAGTTTTCCGTTGTGGATCACCTGACAAATGGCACTGTCTTATAGCCAGCAGTTGAATGAGGTTGACAAATACTTGAGGCACGCCGTAGTGCTGAAGTGGTTTACAAATTACTTCTCGGTCAGCGCTATCTGTCGAAGGCCTTT